CTCTCTCTCTCTCTCTCTCTCTCGCCCCGAGCACCGCCTCCAAGTCTTGAATGAAGAATCTCCGGTGCATGCAACAGCTGGTCTTCTCTGCAACAGCTATGTATGTACAGTCCGGTTAAGTGCTTTTCAGGTCAGCTTCCTCTTTCCCCCAAGCCTCAGACTCGACCACGGATCTCCCCTCTTCTCTCACTCACATCTATGGTGCATCCGCACCCTTCTACTACCTTATGGGTTCAACATTGAAAGGAGGAAAGAAAATAGAAAACCAAGTTGTTGGCTTCCTGGTAAACCATTGACTGATGAGACCTTACTCAAGGTGTTAAACACAGAGTGTAAAAAATGGATGATCCAAACAAAATCACAGAGTACCGAAAAAGCATGAACGAGACAGAAAAAAGTGCAAATCCAGGCATGGGTACGGGTGCATCACCCACGAACAGGCAGACAGGACAGGAGAGGACCTACAACCGCCAAAAACTCTTAAGAGAAATGCCAGACCGAATACAGCTCACGTTGACGGAGAAGAACTGAACTTGTCACATCATGATTTACCTACCTTCTTCCCCTGAATACAACATACAGTCATTATAGCTGTATTTAGACTGAAAGATACTCCAGCCACAGGTATAATGACCGTACGTTGTATTTGAGGGAAGAAGGCAGGGATATGGAAGCAACACACAATGGTGAGCAACACACAATGGTGAACAAGCTCACAGCTGATTCAGAACTGCCTATATCAGAGGAAACTGACGAAGGGGTACTAAGTGAATCAAGCACAGGTTTACGGAAAGGGGGTAGGACATGTAGACAGCATCCAGAGGTCCATGGGCAATCCTATCTAGGCCGAGCAGGTGTCTTCGTTGCAACCAGCAAGAGATGACGCCGGAACTGATATGGACAAGGGCACCATTATGATAAACAAACAGAGTGAAGAACACAGAGACAGAATGAACAGGCAGGCATGCAAAGAGAGGCTGGAAGACATGAGGAGGGAGAGGGGGGAGAAGGAAGAGGACGACGAACAACTTAGAACAAGAGGAAGAAGAAGAAGTATTACTTTCGGGGAAGTCCAAGGTAAGCCTGCAGTCTGCTGGTATTAGGGCGTACTCACACTAGTGCTTTCCTGAATGGATCTGACTGTATTTACGACCAGACGCAGATGAATCCGACTGCAATCATGTCCAAGGCTTAGTTGGAAACGTTGTAGTGTGAGTATGTCGTTAGAGGCACCAGGTGACTTGGTTGTACCTGGACACGTTGAGAAGAAGGTACACGCACTGCATAGCCTGACTCTTTCATCATTTCTTAACAGAATGCAGGCAGAGAGGGCCTAGAGGCAGCTGGGTGGCTAAAATATCCTGGGCCGAAAACTGGAAATACTGCGGGTGGTTGAAGCGTAAATTTGCAAAGTTGCATCGCTGCACCTTTATGAACCTGCGCTGATCCAGGAGCTGTCCACGGTAGAGCAGAGGCTCGTAGAGGATGACCTCCAGTGAAGCACATGGAAGTAACAGGACAGTGAAAACTTGGATTTAGCTCGTCCACGAGTCACCCTCGAGGATGGTCATGCTACAGCATCATGCAAGAAGCATATTATGTCAGAGAGGCATCGGATCGAAGAGATTCAGAGAGGCGGCAGATGCGAATAATTCATTCGGTTGAGCATGATACTCACCTGTTGGCATGGGAATGAGCGTACCCACGAGTTATCTTCATGTCTGCTACTGTTCGACTGTTTAGCTCATTGCTCGCTCCTGTACGGCGGTAGATGGAGACATGCACTCACTTTTGCTTAGGACTGCGCATACTACATAGAGAGAGAGAGAGAGAGAGAGAGAGAGAGAGAGAGAGAGAGAGAGAGAGAGAGAGAGAGAGAGAGAGAGAGAGAGAGAGAGAGAGATATTTAAAATGATGGAAGTAGTCATTTCCATAGAGGTTTTTACGCAGGTTCTGGATTGCTTGGTGCAGAAGTTCAAACTGAGATTCAAATTTGGACTTCAATACAATATTGAGTTCCCAACAATGAAACTTGGACAATCGTAGAAATTCTTTGTTGAAATAAAATGACAATTTACAATAAATAAATATAAATAATTTACTTGAATAAAGTTAAATTGCAAAATCCCTGTCAGGGTACGCTCCTCCTACCCCAGGGGTTCTCTTGGTGCAAAATGTTAAACCTGGAATTGAAATGTGGACTCCAATGTTCAGTTCCCGACACTGAAACTCGGACAATCATAGCAATTTTTTCTCAACATAAAATTACAATAAATTATAAATACCACCAGTACCTCAGGGGGTCTTAGGCCCCCTCTGACGGAAATGCACATGGACCCCCACGCGCACCGATTCAGCCTCTGCGTTAACGCCTTAAAGCGTGGTACCGCCTAAAAACGCGGTCGGTGCTGGTGCTTTAAATTGCAAAATCCCTATCAGGGCACCCTCCTCCTAGTACCCTAGGGGTTTTATTGAAATTTATTCCGTTTCCTCCGTGCGCATTCGCCTGCGCTGTACACTACTCCATATTACAGGTGGGAGTTGGAGTTCCAGCATCATTCATGGATGACCGTCAAGAGTCAAGCGAAGTGAATCTCATGAAAATCTCCCCTCTTCTCTCCTTATGAGAAGAAAAAGATGAAGGGGCCAGCCTGCTCCTCCTATCCTGCTTTCTATTACCCCAGATTCTTGTCCGGCCCATGCCCTCTCTGCCTATTAGTCCTCAACAGCAAGGGGCATCATGTCCTAGGCAGAACGGTGATGATCAAACGAGGTGTGATGCTGTTCTCCACAGACGTAATAGGTATTGTCCGTGAGAGTAACGCCTAACATCTTTTATATTTTATATTTGATGGGAACATGCCCTCTCTGCCTATTAGTTCTCAACAGTAAGGAATAACCCCCCCTTGGTCCTGTTGTTTCTTACCCTTTAACAAGGTACACCCACCAAAATCTCTCCTCTTCTCTCCTTACGAGACGCAAAAGACGATGGTACCGAGCCTCCTCCTAGCTTGCTTTCTATTCGCCTGGATTCTTCTCCAGCCCATGACCTCCCTTCATGCCTATTAGTTCTCGACAGTAAGGAATAATTTTCCTTTCGCAGCTTTTGTTTCTTACCCTTTCTCAAGGTACACCCACCCAAATCTCCCCTCTTCTCTCCTTATGAGACACAAAAGGCAAAGGTACCAAGCCGCCTCCCTAGCCTGCTTTCAATTCGCCTGGATTCTTCTCCAGCCCATGACCTCCCTTCCTGCCTATTAGTTCTCCACAGTAAGGAATATTTATCCTTTCTCAGCTGTTGTTTCTTACCTTTTCTCAAGGTACACCCACCAAAATCTCCCCTCTTCCTCTCCTTATGAGACGCAAAAGACGACGGCACCAAGCCTCCTCCTCCTAGCCTGCTTTCGATTCGCCCGGATTCTTCCCCAGCCCATGCCTTCCCTTCCTTCCCATTACTTCTCAAATGTAAAGGAACAATTCTCCTTTCTCAGCTGTTGTTTCTTACCCTTTCTCAAGGTATACCCACCTCTGTTCCACTCGTTTGTGCCATACATTCCTCACGGTAGAGAGTGTCCCCCAGCTGTTGTTTCTTACCCTTTCTCAAGGTATACCCGTCTCTGTTCCACTAGTTTGTGTCATACACTCCTCATGGCAGAGAGTGTGCCCTCTTTACTCTCACCAGCTTGCAAGTTAGAACGAACCTAGTGCACTTCACCGCCGCAACCCTCGTCCTATTTGCTTTTTTTTTTTTTTTTTTTTCTCTGCATTTTGCAACCCTTGTCCTATTTGCTTTTTTTTTTTTTTTTTTTTTTCTGCATTTTGCAACCCTTGTCCTATTTGCTTAATTTCGCATTGCGTACGGTTTGTACCACACGAAGCGGTAGGGGCACAAAGAACAGAACAAAGCTGAACATACCAAGGATTCCTGCTCCCAGGTACATGTTCATAAAAGTGAGGCTTCCTAAGTCCTTATAAACCTTTTGTAAGTCTGAAAGCACACAACATTCAGCTCCAAAGAGTAGGTACGACAGAACCTGCACAACCAACCGGCACAGACACATTAATTTTGATCAGTACGTCAGACACATCACACAGTAGAGACAACTTGTGTCAAAAACCAAACCAACGGAAAAGTCCTGGTTCTGGCTCTGGCTATATATCCACTGATTCCATTCTGGGGTAGCCTCAGTCCATTTCCTTTTCCCCTCACAAGTACACACTCTCGCCCGGACGGGGGGATGTTGTGCCCGGACACAGGCCCAGCCATCCAGCTGGGCTGGACCCCTGGAAGGGGTCCAGGACAGCACCAGAAAGAAAAAAAGAAAAAAAAAGTCACAAATAAAAAGATCTGGGGAAAGGTATTTGGAGTAGCATTGCCGCAACTTTCGGGTGTGGGTCACATCAGCATTCCTAACTGAATAGAAGAATAAAGAAGAAGAAGAAGAAGAAAATCAGACTGAGGCACCCCCCTTTAAAGTTTAAACCCCTTTGGACCCCTGAAAGCCCCGTTTATACCCCCCTTTCCGCCATAAAGGGACAACTTTGAAAAACAAACAAGAGCCCGGATTTGGGCTGGTTTGGTGGGCACAGAGAAGCCCCATGCATGCCTGCAGAACCTGGGCGGGAAGACGGCCAGGAAACCTTCGTAACCTGGGGTAATGCTTTTTTTTTTTTTTTTTTTAATACCAGAAAGCGACCCGGGGTAATGCTTAGGGGTGCTGATAAGAGCAGGCACCACAAGCACTCCTGGGGAGGCTCCATCTATTGGTGGGGAGCAGCACCTGCTGAAAATCGGGTCCAGCGTCCCTGAACATTGTAGTTGATTGTTTGAGCAGACATTTGACCGGAATCAACTGCGAGCTGCAGGGCCTACTTATAGAGGAAAGAGTGTAACAGGTATCACAGGTGCCCGGCCGTGGAGCCCTTAGCCTCCTGTCTTCCCCCGAACATAATGCATATGAGTTTTAAAACTTAAACAGAGTAGTCAAGCCACTGGTCGGTGCACTGGACTGGTCAGCGAATGTTACATGCTGCACCTGCACGCGGGCCCCATTTGAGGGGCCCGACGGTTGCTGAGGGGCCCACAGGCCGCGTGCCCATCCGACACGCGCCCTGGAGGCCCACGGCGGCCTTTAGGCCGCCGGTATGGTTGAGGCAGCACTTATTTATTTATTTATTTATTTGCTGTCCTAATTTTGCTTGTTCAGACGTCGTTTCAGACTTGCAGTCCCAAAGGCGAGGCCTTGGGCTGGATACACCAGGAGGCAGGGTCGATCGGGGCCAGGCGCACTTTGGCGTCCTGCTGCATCAGCAGCCCGGTCTGGACACCCAGTAGGGGCCCCAACCGTGCGGGCCGTTTCAGGCCACGCTGCAGCACACCCAGTCGGGCCCAGCGCTACATATAGCTGGGTCTTGGTTGGGTATGACAGTTCGGGTAGCTCACTTCTTGAGCGACACACTGCTGGATTAGCGCTACGCTGCTTAGCGCTGCGCTCAGAGGTTAGAGGTAGAGGATAGGTAGGCAGAGGGGGGGAGGCCATAACTGCAGTAGTGGACCTGGCACCATAGCTGGGCTCCGCGCGTGCCGACCTGCAGGTGAGACAGCGAAGAGGACGGCATCTTCTTCTTCTTCGTCGTCTACTCTCCCTCTCGTCTCCCTCCTTCCTCCTTCCTCCTTCCTCCTTTCCTCTTCTTCTTCTTCTTCTTCTTCTTCTTCTTCTTCTTCAGATAGATAGATAGATAGATAGATAGATAGA